GTAAGGGTTTCCACATTTTTACCATAACAATTGACAATTGAAAGTATAGTAACAATTAAGTAATGAATCTACATTGACTGACACCGACTTATTCGTCGCGCGATTTGGAGCTAAACTATTTAACTACGTCGTAGTCTTTGACTCCAAAAATCAACTAAAAAAAATAGGACATGCAAGCATTACCTTTCGGATAAAAAAAGAATTATCAAAATCGGTCCACTAGCGGCGGAGTTATGCCGTAACACACATAAAAAAAAAACATACAGACGAATTGAGTACCTCCTTCTTTTGGGAAGTCGGTCAAATGAATCTGACTGTCTAGGGCCAGCAATAGCGGTAGGACGACGGACAGAAGGTGTTACAAGTTTACGAGTTCAGTCTCCAAAAAAAGGGATGTTAAAAAATAAGACATCGTAAAAATTTGTTTAGAAATAGTTAACCCCCGTCTGTATAATAGTAAAATTTTAATTACACTGGTCTCAGCGTTTCCATACCATTAACTTAAATAAAAAAAAAGATTTCTGCAGTAGGAGCTCACGCTTATAGCTGTCTGGCAGAAAGTTTGCGTGTTACCGCTTCTGTTGACCTTGACATACAATAGCGCTAGATTTTCAATAAGATTGACATTGAAATTTGTCCCCGCTTCAATAATCTACTTAACTATATTTAGCAACATTATTATGTTTGTTTAGACAATCTCCTTTTTTTATTTACTCTTAAAACCTACAAAAGTACGTGAGCTTGAAATATGATTGTTCAGACAAATTTTATTTTAATGCTATAATACGTTTTTATATAATAACTTGAAGGGCCTGTCCTACAAATTGTATTTGTCTGATAACAATCCAACGTGTAAAATATGTGATATCGGAATTTGTTACCTTATCTGACTGTGTCGTCATTTTTAAGCTATCTGAGGCTCTATCAGCCAGTGAAGGAACAGGCCCTTGGAGTTTTGTGTATATGTGATATACCGTATGAAAAACCCGTACACTTACAACACACTTTAGACTATATGTTTTCACGCTATTAAACTTGGGGGTTAATAAATTGGAAAAAACCTTCTTATGGGAACGTGACCATAAACCACAAGCTGCAATATCAAGGAACTAAGATGGCTATTGTACGGTAATTGGTATCTATTGTCATTTATGCATTTGAATTTTGACATTTGCAATTAAGAATTTGACAAATGTAAACAATAAAATAAAGTTTTTATAATTCCACGAAATGAAGCCGCACGGGAACAGCTAGTAAGAGATAATGTCAGTTAAAACTCTTTATATCAAAATTAATTCCCCACTAACGTGTTTGTAAATTACCAACAAGATATATGAAAGCATTAGTATACAAATGTAATTATGGAGTTAATATATACAAGGATCCGCTAACACCCACTAAGTACTAGGGGGGTCGTAAAAATGATATATAACAGGGTATTATGCGGGAACATGTGGCCATGCGACTGCAATGCGTTGTTTTCATGTTAACATTAGTACCTACGCTTGTTGAATATAAATAGCACGCAAAAAATAAAGAAATCGTAACCTGCAGTTAAATAATGAGACTTCTAAGCTTGTCTGAACTTAAAAAACTTACATCAAACATGTTTATTTGAACGAACATTAAAGTATTCAAATTTTGTATAACTAGTAAGTAGCTTATGACATCAGTTTGCCCTTGTGCTAACATTTACTATCAGCGCCCTATCTAAATTCTTTACCTTTTTAAGCATGTTCTTTTTCACACAATTCATACAGACTTTATTCCGTCTATCTCTACCTTTATAGCCATCAACATTTAATCATAATAAGCAATCTTAGTTAATGCCCTATGTGTTCCAGAATATGTTCTACATATCTGCAAAATATCCGCGAGATCTAACATATAACAATGACATATAAACAATAAGGCAATATGCTCACCAGACATTACTGTAACTACGTACTATTCAATAATATCCGCAATGTTCGATTGATCTAAGGAAGTATTGACAGCCATTGAAGAGTAAAAAGCAACAACAACAAGCGTAAAGTGGAAGCAATTCCGCGTTTCGTCTAATGAGTGTAGTGCCGGAGGCCTAATTTTAGACCCTTTCCCTTTTCACCCTTTTCTTAAGAGTAATGGATGGGAAGGGAAAGTGGATTTGACGATGGAGGAGACGCATAGGAAGAGGAAATGTCCTCTTTATGTGCGTCTCTTCCTCCGTCAATTAAGGGTAGGCAACGCATTTGCAATTGCGGATGTTTATGGGCAGCGGTCGCTTTCCATTTCGGTGGATTCAGGTGGCCGCTTGCTCGTTTGCCACCTTATATTTAAAAAAAAAACATTCTAATTACAAGCATAAATAAACAATAAACTATTATATTAAGTGATAGTAGCTACCATTTTAATTTTGTACACTCCTCTATAAGAGGCCACCTATGAAAGATCCATCCAAATTTGCATAAACGTTACATTTATTTAACTCAGTATAATTCGTAATTAATCATTTGAAGCGTCAATATCCTATTGTTTGAGGGCATGGATTTCTAATCAGATCGAGAATCTCGCCATTCGGCTATCGTTGTAAACCATATCGTAAAACGAGCCTAAAGTTTAGTAAGAAATATTAGTAAATTATCAAAATAAATATCTACTAATATTTTTAAACACATCGTTAACGAATCAAAAAATCTAAAACCTAATCTAGGTCACAAAAACAAACCGTTTGAAATAAACTTAGTATTTTTATTTCAATGACACAATAACAAAACATATTTATTTGAAAACATTACGAGAATGTTATCATTACAATAACCACAGTTCACATAAATGGTGTAGTTTATTTTTCTAGTTATTGTATAAATTCCATCTTTATCTCATCCAATGATGATATAAATCAGGTATGATAAAATCAATGTCGATTGCTTCATAACAAGCGTTGAATTAAAACAGCAAAGAGGTCGCACTGTGAGAAATATCAGAGCAGCATTCGAACGCGAGTGCTTGTGTAGTGTAGACAACGGCAGTCGTAATGAAATAAACAAAATACGAGATAAATAAAATGGCAAACCAGATCTGGACACCACCTGATATCAGCAACGTCTGTGGCGAATCCGTAGCACCTATCACACAATGTTCTGAAGCCGGATTTATGTTTTTGGCTCTAGTTGCTCGATTGTTTGGAAAATCAATTGACTCAAAATACAATATACCAACCAATCCTTTTGCTAAATATCAGAAGGATGGATATCTGAATGGCTACGCTTTCGATGCACATGCAAAAGGAGAATACAATTTGGGTGTAACTAAACCGGGACTGGATACGTTTGGACCTAATTTTGGAGCAGAAACACCCAAAAGTTTAGCAGGAACAGATTCAGATTTGTATGGATATAAACAGGAATACACTAAAGATTATAACGCCGAACCGTACACTGGTACACAGGGTTACACCGCATCAGATTTTTATACGGGACCAGAATTTCAATATGAATCTAAAACTTTTGCCAATCCATTTGGACCGTATTATACAGGGATTAGAGGCTACAACGAACATCGTGGTTATGATAGTGATTCGGATTATTCAAACAAAGTATTTCTACAAGAAACTAAAGATAGAAAGCGAAGAAGGAAAAGAAATACCGAAGATTATGATTTTATAATAGTCGGCGCGGGATCGGCAGGTTGTGTGGTTGCTAATAGATTATCTGAAGTCAAAAAATGGAAGGTAACCATTTCTTTCTTTCAACATTAATACTAGCTTTCGCTCGCGACTGTACGTAGAATTAAAGAAAAAACTTAGTTAGTAACCCATGTGTTTTCCAGACTAGGTTTTAAATATATGCCAAATACGCGATATGTTTAGCGATTTAGGCTGTAAACTCTAACAAACATTCGTTCATCCAAACGTTCGCATTTATAATATTAGTAAGATTCTTTTGTTTTTTAATTCGTCATTAATAATCAAACTTTCATTTGTCAAATGTACTCGTAGCTCTTACTACTAAAATAAATCGTTAGTTAATTAATTTTTGTGTTAGCTAGAAAGTTTTTTTAGTGAAATCTTATCATGTTATTATAACAAATCACGCAGGTTTGTGAAAACTATGAAATGACCCAATTATATACAAACAATAACGTACAATAGCGTCAATTACAACATGCCACTCAAGTTTCTATCTATTGTCACGTAAATTGCTTATACTTTTAAACTTTTTATATCTCATTATCCATAGGCCGTGTTATAGATGAATAATCATTTATGCAATATCAATTTTATAGTACTGGTTTATGTTTAAATTAGTTTTCGCCCCCAACTCCGACTGCATTGGATTAAAAATAAAAGTAAGTAGCCTTACATCACATTCATCATCATCATCCACATTCATCCACATTCATCCACATTACATGTACGCCATTTGGCATACCATTCCATCAAGACCCGTTCAGCAGTTATAGCTACAAACAATCATCCATCGATCAAGCTAAACATTTGCATAAATAGCAAGATTAGAGAAAATCTAATAGTTTCTAATACATCTCATTGTATCACTAAAACAAAATTTGGATCACAGAGTAACTAAATATTTTGTTTACAAGATCTCTTTTATCTACATGTTTAAAATCATTAGTTATTTCGACCACAACTTCAATAAGCAAAGTTGCATCAACATTTTCATTTAGTAATCCATAATAACTACCTTTTAGTTAATCTTTTGTTTATATCGCGCACAATGTTTCTATAGGTTATGTCTTGGGAGAATTGCAAGTACTTATTGCTGGTTGAGAACAATGTTAGATTTTCCATTTTGTACCTTGAGCACAATACTTCCAGTATCGTGAGAACATTTTCCCTTTCGCTAGCTTCATCGATTATTGACTTGCTATTGCTCGCGATTTTATCCGCGTGGAATTTAAAAAAATAGTAAAAGGCTTCCCCTAAGTAACATAGTGACAACTTTTTAACGATGAAAGAATTTTTGAAATCGGCCTAGTAATTTTTGATTCATTTCAATACATAAACATATCCAAAAACATAATTCTTTCCTTTTTATAACGCTCGTACAGATATAAATATTCTGACACTTATTAAATTGACTAGAAAACTTCAAAATTTGATAAATGATGTACTTTTTTTAAAGATATTACTACTGGAAGCGGGACCAGAGGAACCTGATGTCACCAGTGTGCCGAGCTTCGCGCCTACATTAGGCAGTTCCAGTATTGACTGGATGTATCGAACGCAAAGAGAGGAACTCACATGTCGCGCGCAGAGAGGACAAACATGCGCTTGGTTCAGGTAAAGTAAATAAATGAGAATAAGAGATAAGAGAGAAAGATATAAAATCTAAACTAAAATAATATTTTATCGATAAATTAACTAACCTAAACATGTACCAATATTCTTTACTAACAATATTTTAAACACATAAGATATAACTTACACACACACCACCACATTAAACACAATGAGATATTCTAATGTCTCAAGTCCCTAGTTTGTATAGCAACGTATAAGGCGTATTCGTCCCAAGTAAAAAAAAATATAAACTACCCACGAAGAACGTGCAGGGTTCTCACAAACCAAAAGGTTTAAGACCCTAAAGTAAAGGGAAAAAAAAATAACATCAAAAATTACTTAAGGACAATTTAATTTCAAGTATTATTTTGTTTGTTTACCTGAATTGTGCTTTATTTTGATGATCTTTAGGATATATTGAAAATAACGTTCGACTTCGTATCATTGGTGATAATAAAATCAAATTATTTTTGACCGACTTCCCAAAAGAAGGAGGTATTCAATTCGTCGGTATATTTATTTTTTTTTTTTTTTTTTTTTTTTTTTTTTTTT